GGTCAAGGTCAAGCAATTTGTAATGCGACTCAAACTTTTCGGGATTAATCCCGATAACCTATTTTGGCCGAGCAATATAGAAGTGAGGGAAGAAACATTTTCTATTGAATTAGGTATGCTTCCAGAGAGAAAGTTCTTTGTCAGGCAAAGAAATTTGAGAATCTCTTCTCTCATTGAGATAGCGCTTCCACGAGAAGTCAGAGAAAACACCAGGTTGAAGCAAATAACAAGTTGTGCAGTGTGACCCTCCTGATTTTGTTAAATCAATGACGATAAAAACATTCTACACATGTTTGCACGTTGTTTTACTAGACGTAACTACACCATGTACCATCACAATAACAAATTCAAATACTGATGCATCTGCGTTCACGTAGAATCATATGTTGAAACAAATGAAGAATGTCGGCACAACACTAGCAAAGATCAATACTAAGGATCGCCTACCACATCTAACTGGCGGAAAGATGGTCATGAAACAAATCTATAAAGTTATTCAGGAGTGGTAATTATTTCATCCTGTTATTCTTAAGATTCTTAAGAACGTATATATAGTTAAGTATTTAGATCGATAGGTTGGTGTTCCTACACTCACATTTTCACTGACATTCCTATTCGTACTTACAAAGAAAAGCAAACTATGCCCATTATTGCCCAACAAAACCACTATTGACTGCTTCCACATATTTTTGCAAGATAACAAAAGAGAAAAAAATTCATCTGTGGTCACTGGATTCGAGTCAGTGTCTGTACTTCAGAGTACCCTAAATACAATTACTAAAGTAGCTTAAGCGCCTCAATATGGTCGCTAGTATGACTTGACATGCACATTTCACTTAGTTGGCATACAGTTGACCCGTCCAACTGCTACGTGGGCAACAACTATGTGAACAACATGGCCGGGCGACGTGACATTTTGAAAAATAAGTCTGACGGGCCACACCTATCAGATGGAGTGAGAAACAAAAATCAGAACTTATGTGCCCGTGGGGATTTGATCCCACCTCACCCCACACCTTATCCATGTCCATATAGTGGAGCGTTATGTTATCATACGAAAATAGGATCGATCGATACATGTGCATGAGATATATATGATCATCCGCATACCAACATACTCCCTCCATTCTGAATTATAAGATGTTTTATTTTCTAAATCGGATGTATATAGACACATTTTAGTGTGTTTGTTCGCTCATTTCAGTCCATATATAATTTATATTAAAATATTCAAATGTCTTATAATTCGGAGCAGGTTGTACTAGTCACTTGGCTGCTGAGCGATCGAGCCAGTTAGCTACTTGCAGGTTTGAAGAAGACCTGGCGGTCAGGCAGCCACTGGTTTCCGGTGATGAAGCGCTTGACGGTGTACCTGGCGCCATCGCGCGCATGGATGACGCGGTGATAGCCACTCCACTTGAGGCAACGCTTCACCTTGGAGGTAGCCATGGACCATAGCTGTTGTATTCCATGTATTACAGCTGAACGTCACGGCGGCCAACTTCACCTCATGGTCCTTGTTCAAGGGGGGCCAACCCTTCCAGTCCACCCAGCCCCTACCCTCCACGAGCTCGCCGAGGTAACTCTGCATAAACATGACGTGGGAGTGGTTCATCCACGGGCGATCAAGTTACGTCTCAATATTGTTGAGGTCCTCGCTGTCGCCATGCCCTCATGCTGCAATTTTGGACGAGAAACCAATGTCACGGTCTAGTCAGTTGCAACCCTATAGGTCGTCACCCACATTTTGGTTCACAAGCATCAGCTTGAGAACTAAAATGTGACAACCCTGGAGAACAGCTTGGTGTTGCCCCAAATGATGTCGGTGGTGTC